AGCAACTAGAAGCATTCTCAGCACCATCCCTGGCTTCTTTTTCAAGAGGAAAAGAACTGGCTTCTTTTTCAAGGGGAAAAGACCTGCTCAGGGATGTTGTGGCACCCAAGGAAGACGCGACGGGGTTGTAGCTCTAATTCTTACCCGCATGGTGGAGCAGGCCGAGACCTCTTGAAGTTCAACGATTCTAACAGAAATGTTGGTAAAAACTTCCTGGAGCAAGTGGCCCGAGGCGAAAACAAGCGCAGACTTGCACAACTTGCGTGTGATCATGAAGCTTCTAAGTTCCACAGGAGGAACAGCAGGATCATGGAAAACATCAGAGCAACTCCTGGGTCTGGAGCTGGACGTGGAGAGGATCATGAGCAGGAAGGAATAGGAGAAGAAGAAAGATTATACTGTCCGGACCACGCGAGTGTTCTTAGTGGGAATCTTCATCTTCAGGATCAGGAAGCATCCTCAACATCACGTGGACGGAATACTAATATTAATGGGAAAAAGCAGGTTTTTGAGCTTTCCATGAGGAATCTTCCTATAGCCGACGCACCCGCACGCATCTTTCTGACAGACCTTTGTTCTACAATGGCGAGAGAGAATAGGAGAGCCCTGAGGTCGCAACTTCTCTTAAGGCTTAGTGCCCTTATCTATTTTTTGAGGCATCCTGATTTCTTTTGTTTTTTCCATAGGACTATAAATATATTTTTTCCCCCCAAATACTAGCTTTGCAATCACTTAAACAACCTGAAGAGGCTTTTCGTTTTCAAGGGGATAATATTAATAAGCGCACCCAGGCACCAGGATGCCTCTCAAGTCAGATGAATAAGCATACTAAGGGTGTTGAGCTCTAATTCTGATCGCGCACACGACTGATATTCTGGAGATGAGCAAGAGGATCTCAGCGATTCAAGGTACAAAGCTGGCGTTACAGTTAGAAAAGTTATCAGTAGATAAGAAGCGACATCGTCATCTTGCGGAAAGACTCCTCCGGTGGGGTCCTACGGCCACGGGAGGAAGTTCTAATATTCTTAAGGCTACAAATAGCAAGAAGTCGTCCATCCTCTTCGTTCCTTACAAGCACTTTCTTGGTACTCCCGTTTTCTTTGAAGGGACGAAAAGGAGACCCAAGATCATGCTGCTGCCGCTGGATTTCTATTAGTTCTAATCTTTCTGTTCCTAACGTGTTTGAAGACATTTCAGGACTTTCGGATACCGCTTTTCGTGTCATAGAGGACGAAGAAGATCCAGAGGCGGTGCTAGCAAGAAGCTATGGCTTAGGAGAATGGTTACCAAGAAATGTCGCTGCACACGGCATGATCCTAGGAGAGGCAGCCATTCTGCGTTGCCGTAGAAATTTCGTCACCCTTCTTGCCCACAACATGCCGAAGTCAGACCACTTACGTGAGCACCTGGGTATGAGTTCGAGTAGCAACTTGCGGAGTATTGTGACAGTGCCTGTGCCTCATCAAGAGGAACAGCTACAACATCAAGAAGGGACACCAGAAGAACATGCTGATGTCGTAGTTGGGGATGAACATCAAGAAAGCGAAAGACTTGAAGAAGAAAATGGTCGGACACAAGTAAGGGACGATGAAACATCAAGTTTGAACTACCCTGGTTTTGGTTACCGTAACACTGACTACCGTAACACCAGCAGTGCTTTAAGACGTGACTTGGCTTCTCTCATGGGACGGCTGGATAGAGCTGCTGCTAATCGTGTCATAGACAATTTGATGGAGAGACTCGAAGCAGATCATGACCAGCAAACATCCTCTTCTTTTGCTGATAGTCAACGGCAACGGCAAGGACAAAGTGGTACTGGTACAACTGTTACTGGTACAACTGGTGCTACTGGTATAATACAAGAAGGTGCTCCTGGTGCTGGAATACCACAAGCTGCTAATGGTAGCAGCAGCAGTGTTCGTCGAAAACAAGCTAAGGATAAGTTGAGCCACGCACCAGAGTTTTCATCGTCCAACCAACATAAGCAAGACGACAACATGCATAAGAGGGATGAACAGGAGGAACACGACGATCAAGATGAGGAGGAGTGCCAACATGAGGTGAAACTGTTGAGTTCCCTGTTTCATTTTCCGCGTCCCGAAGCCTTAGACCAGTTCACAAACGACTATGAAATACGAGCTGCTCAGCGACCGCTTTCGAGACATCTTTGTACCAGAACGCGTACTCTGACAATCAGCGGCATTTCGATGAAGGCGACCCCCAAGGAAATCGAGGCCTCCGTGAGTCATGTCCTCGAAGAAACCATGCACAAATGGTGGACAATCTTAACTTCAGACTACGCGACTGACTGCGCAAAGGAGGAAATCATAAAACTTGCGGAGGTTTTTGACAAAAAGATTTTGACGCATCTGTTTGAACATGGGATGAAAAGTAACCAAGGTCGAAATGATCCTGCTGGTGAAAATCGATATGGAAGGAATGCCAAGGGAACAAGGTCAAGGGGACAAACGCGATTTTTTGATCATATCTTCAAGATCAACAGACGCAAGGGACGGGCTTTGAAAGAACTACGACGAGAGCTGGAAGCAGTGGCGCACCCGTACAAGCAAACGCCCTTTCTCGAAGCAGCACTCTACTCGCCAGCGGTTTTTGTCAGGACGGAAAAGGACGAGGGAGGTGAGAAGATGACCCGTCCCGATGAGACATCAGTTCTTGGGCAGTCGGGAAAGATGGGCGACGACAATAAATATGAAAATAGCGATACTATCGATCACGAGATCATGGACGGACTCGTGCAGCTGGCTTCAGCGCAAGGCAAAAATGCGACGTGGATGATGAGCTACGGAGTTCCTATTTTGAAGGGCTTCCGAAGAGACGAAGTTCAATCGTTCCAAGCCCTAGTGGAGTCCGTCGCTCCACTGGATGAAAAAGGGCGCGCCTGCATTTGCTTCGCCAATTACCTGTATGCGGAGATTTTCATGCGTCTTTCGTCAGCATCTGAGGCTGTCGCCGCAGTGCGATCCCGGTTTCGCAGGATATTAGCGGAGCTAGTGGTGGAGCTGGGAGATTCGGAGTTGATACTTGCTCTCGTGTCTGGACACGGACAGCAAAGACAACAAACGACAGCGAAGCATATCATGGACGAACAAGCAGCATTTCTAGACATAATGCAAGATTTCAACTTGTCTGCTTCTGCTCGTGCTCGTAGAACTCACCTCGGAACAGTTGCCGTAGATCCCGACGACCCCCTCTTAGTTCCAGATGATACCATAGAGCAGATTCAGTCTTACACCTCTAGCGACGTTCTTCTAGCACTGGAGGAAGATGACGAGAGTAAAAACGCATCAGTACAACTAGAAATGCTCCTAGCAGAACAAGTGCACGAAGAAGAGTCCATCAGTTTCAGTGACCACTTTGACGACTCTGAATCTAAGGACCAGGACGATAGGTTACCAAGCGAAGGAGGTGAACGAGACCCAGGAGGTGAACGTGAAGAGGAACGAAGAGGACAAAGAGAAGGTACGATTACTTCTCCTGGCGGCTCTGATGAAGCGGATAGAGCAGTTATGCAGATTCGTAATCGTATACCACCACCACCAGCAAGTAGAATTGGGGCTTCATCTTCTTCATCTGCGGTTAATACTACGTCGTCGTCCTCATGTGCAAATGGAATACCAACTAATAGTAAAGGAGGTACCAATATCAAAGGAGCAGGAGGTGCAGCAGTGAAGGGAAAAGGTAAAAAAGGACAACGACTAGGGGGCACACGTGCAGGCAATCGCCATGACAAAATCAAACAAATGACGAGACGAGATCGTCGCTTTGCTGCACAATCAGAATGGCTACACAGCATTTACGCTATGCCCCCAGACGAGACCAACTCGTCTACGTCTGAGTCTGAAGGAGAGTCTCCCTCAGAAAGCGACACATCATCATCATCTGATGACGAATCTGAAGCAGCATTCTTCTTAGAGGGACACGACTTTTTGGAAAAAGACGCGAGTAGCCCCAAAGTCAAAGTAGCTACTACAGCTAAGATGAACAGGGTGAACGAGATGATGAGAAGCGATGATAGTATTGGTTCTCTCTCTTCGATAGTATCGTCTCTAGAGGCTGAGGGTGGAGCTGATGAAGATGCTCTGGGAATAGGTAGGCGAGAAGGACTAAAAACCTTAGACGAGGAGATGGAGGAAGAGGAGATGGAGCGCTGTAGTCGTAGACTTGCTAGATGGCAGAAGTGGTTTCTACGAGAACAACGTGGGAACAAGACGAGCGGCGAAATTGCTGGTGCTCGAGACTCATCGGGGAGAACTCGAGCACACTCTTCACAGAAGCGGAACCGGAACAAGGCCTCTCAGATTAGTAGCAGTGCTGCTCCTGCTGTCCAGTGTCGATGGTTGAGAAAAAGGGTACTCGGTTATGTTGACCTGCAGAAGAAGAAGGACTACAGCAAGAAGCTCAGGTGGAGCACAAGAAAGTCTAGTACTTTTACTTCTAGTACTCCGCTGTCGGCCTCCCATATCCATGCTGTAAAGAGGGTTCTGGCTGAATCTGCTGAGTCGCCTCCTCAGCTAGGCTCCACCAGGCTACAAAAAGAAGTGCTCACTAAGGTGCACGACGAGAGCCGATGCAGACGAGGAAGAGGAGGACACGAAGAGCAGTCGCCGACGGCTCTATTTTCTCTTTTGAAGCTCTTCGCGTGGAAGGGACACGTCGTGAGAGTGTCTTGGGGAGGGATAGGTAGCGTCAGCAATCGACTCTTGACAAGTTGGCAAGCACACTACGACTTTCTGATCAAAATGACGTCTCTCCATGACGGAATCCGAAACATCATAGGCAATGTTTTCATGGAACAAGGAGCTCAAGGAGCTTTAATCGCTAGAATCGGAGGAAAGACTAAGACAATATCTTCTCGTCCTTCACCAAGAAATGTTAAAAATGTAGTCGCACACGCACCCGAAGAACCGCTGCAGCAAGACCTTCGCAACACAAACGCTGGCATGATTTTGCAGGTGTCCGACCGACTCGAACCCATCATCCGCAAAGCGGAGACGAACTTGCTCGTTGACTTGATGTTAGACTTGAATTTCAAACGTCGTCTAGGCGAACTTTTCACGCGCCTGTACAAGCGTCTAGTCACAGCCAGGCTCCGCGATTTAGATTTGCAAGATCAGAACGAGCTGGGCGATTTCACTTGCCAAATTTTTACGAGAGCAGACGTCACGCAAGGTTTGGTGACAAATCTTGCGAGTCTACTTCTAGCAGGAAATAAAGAGCAGGAGAAGGAGAACTACAACGACAAGGTCGTGGATCATGTCGCACTTCATCTTGAAAAAGTCTACAAAAAGGAGTTGTTGGCACAACCAGAGAAGGTGGACGAGGACGAGCTCGAGCAGCATGAGCCTGGTTCTCCGAAGTTGAGCACACCTCCTATTTCACCAAGACGTGTGGTCCAAGTTGTAGGGGGCGTTGAAGTCGATGGAGAAGATCAAAGGCGACAACAAATACAAAAAATTCAACGTCAACTCCAGGAACAAAAGTATCCTAGTTCATCCTTTCGCTTGTCTCAGAAGCTGCTAGAAACTATCACTTACTTGACGGAGGAGTTGCATACCCCTTCTTTGCTGCTACCCCCGAGCAGCAACCCGTTTTTAGACGGCAACGCTCCTGGAGTTATAAGCATGCCGCCTATCCGGGTCAACGGAAACACCGCTCCACAGCAACGAGGAGGCGAAGACACCTTGGTTACAAACGCGTACGACAACGCTCCCCAGAACAATGTCGCGCTCAATTCCAAAACGGTCGGCCGATACTACCCCCTAGATTTGGACTTGTACGTGTTGCCAGGTATAGTCGCGCACACAACGACAATGCGCGATAAAAAAGACTTAGATATTAAACTTGAAAGTAGAAGGAGGCTGAAAGAATTTGATGTTGACAGGGCTGCAGGGAATAGCTGCGAAGACCACGCTGATAGTGATAGGTATTGGGAGGACAAGAAGATGAGTAACGGAAACACAAGTAGATTGGGCATTGGTCAAGAAGCAGCAGAATTCTTCAAGAAGCAAAGCATCCCATTCCCACTTCGCGAAGCCATCATGCCGCGAAGTTTCCGCACCTCGTCCCGACTGATTCGGGAAAGTGGCCTAATGCAGTGTAGCTTAGATCTGCTCTATGTTTTGGACCACCGCTCGGTCGCGAAAGAGCTTCTCTTAAAATCTGATCTGCGAAAGGACTTTTGGAGTCGGTTTCTCCCGATCGTGTCCAGAACGCAGAACATGAATCCGCATTGGCGACGCTGTCCAGTCGATAATCATGTAGAGTTTGCAGACGAAAGGTGGATCGTCTCCTTCCGACTGCAGTCTGACCTCGTCAACCTGCATACGTTGTTCCTCTACAGCGGCTTGTTCGAGTTTTTTTGCCGGAATAAAAAGTGGCTGGAGCTGCAGCAGCTGCCGTTCGTGGATCAGGTGCAACAAGAAGTACTAGAGAATCGATCTTCTCCACCTGCAGAGAATAAGAAGGGCGATCTCGTCGTGGACGATAGTCCTGCTACAGCGACGACGAAGGATTCCACAGAGGATGGGGAAGCTTACTCGACGGACATCCTCGATCTGCCTTTTGGGCTTTCGGCTTGCTTTTTGAGCCCGGCACAAAAGAAGAACAGCATCAAGACCTCCGAAGTAGGACAGCATCAAGACCTACATCAAGACCTACAACTTCCTCAAGCAGGTTCTTCTTCATCCGTACTGAAAAGTGAGGGAAGTGAGGAACAACTACGTGTATCTTACCAAGCCGCGTTTAGTGACGTTTCCCGCATGATCTGGAGCCATCTACAGCATCAGATGGCTGCCCACTTCAACACAGAACTAGCTTTGCGCCAGACCTACTTCGAGAACGTGAACCGAGCGTACTTGAAAAACGCAGTAGGAGCTGTGGCTAGAGTTGGTCGTAGTGGGAACAATCATGCGAACAATAGCACACCAGAGCAGATTGACAACGCCGTAGAGCTCCTGATGCATCAGGTTTGGGCGCCTCCGGTCAGCGGATTCCGTCGACCAGATGAGATGAACCATGGCGATCAGGATGCTCATGGAGACACCAACATGTTGTCCGAGTTGGAGACATTATCTTCATGGGCAGACGATAGCTGCAGTAGAACGAGTGAGGACGCGGATGACCAGGATCAAGAGCCGGAGGATCAAACTCTATATTCAACAAGTCTTCCAGTTCCGCCAAATAGAGGAGCCCCATGGGAATGGGATTACCACTCGTCCAACACGTGTGCGCGAATTGTCCAACCGCTGGCACGTCCACCTATGCATCGGCTTAGACAGAGCGCCGATATCGAAATCGATGTTGGTACTGGTCGTGGAGGTATACAGAGCCCCCAGGGTCAGCAGCAGACGAGGAAGAAAAGTCTCTCCGGATCTTCATGCCGTCGTTCCTATTTCACACAGCATTCTTCCGCTTCTCACGCTCATGAATGCAGAGCTTTCTATGACAATGATGTGATGGAGCGGTGCCATCGACTAGGCGAGGAACAAAAGCAAGAACTCGTAGCACAAAATCCTAGTACTATTTCATCTTCATCCAGCTCGTCAAGGTCAACTACAACAAGAACAGCTCCTACTGCATCCACTACATCATCCAGTCTGCTCGTTAAAAATACTAACAGTGGTAATTTTTATTACAACCCCCAAGAAGTAGATGAAGACATCATCGAAATGGACACCTATACTGGTCTGGAGTTCCTTTTTGACGCGCTGTTGGTTTCAGAACGCTTGTGTCCAGAGATGAAGAAAAGTACAGGATCCGCTCTGGACATGATGTCGTCGGACCACTTCCTAAACGGGTTTCGGCGAAAGCAGGTCTGCGCTAACAGGCAAGCTCTGAGCGGAATGTTAAGAATAGTGGCAATCCAAATCCATCTTCTTCTTCAGAAGCATCTTCTGGGACCTTCTACTCCTTGTAAAAACGGGTGGTCGTCCAGGACGACTCTCAAGATGGATTTGCTGTTGCTCTGGAGGATCTTCTAATAGTCCTTGGACAATATTATGGGCAACTAAAAGAAGCTTCTGCTTCACAACTGACTGCCCCTGCTCCGAGGGCGCATAGCATCATGTCAGCACTTGTGAAGGCAGTGTACCAGACAACACTCGCTATGGTGGAAGCTGAAGATACGAGATGGAAAAACTTGCTTCTCTTATGACAGGATTGAAAAAGAAGCAGTGTGCTCTCTGTACTCATACTCAAGAAAGGATGCAGTCTAGCTGTACTCATTGTCGTTTAACACTCAAGAAAATAAGAGGCATTTGGCTTTCAACTTAGAACTTAGAACGCAATAACAATGAGAATGACAATGTCAATGTCGTGCCTAGTTTTTTCTTCTTGAATGAGGACCGACGGCAAGGAGCACACTGACACTTTATTCTTCCTTCATATCTTTTGAAGATCATGGCACGCTCAGGGGGAACAGCTGCGAACTTGAAGTTGTCGATTCACGATTTCGAATTGTTCAAGAAAGCGTGCAAAGACCTATATTTTACATTGCGCCAAGAAGCAAAAATGGAGGCTCTCCGAAGACCACCAAAAATAGAAGAACTTCCAAATCCAAAAGCTACGAGGACCGCCAAAACTACAAGTACAATAGGTCGTCTAGGTGGTGGTGGTGCTTGTGGATCTGGATCCCACCTGGTGACATCACGAGGATCACAAGACCAGGCGCAGGAGCAGCAAGAGGGAACAACAATAAGATCTTCTTCCCTGAGCAAGGTTCTCAAAATGTTGAAAGTGGTAACAAGTCTGCCAGGACGAGCGCTTCGGCTTCCACTTGGTTTTTACCTCGAGGAGGCGGCGCTGCAGTGGTTCACCAAATTTCCGCCCCATCGGTGGCAAGGCTTGCTTGGACAACTTGTGGACGACGAGCAGGGTCAAGATGATAGTATTTCTATTTGTATTTCATCGTTAATACCTATACCCCCGAAGACGGCAAGCTTGAATCAGCAGCGACAAGAACTACAAGTAAACAACGAAGAAAAACTTTTAGACGACTTTGGAGACGAAGAAAGGCTCTTAGCTGCTGCTGAACCAGTCAACGAGCACCCTGGACCTGTAGCACAACAGCATCAACTTTCTGGTGAAACAGGAGTATCCCTCCAAAATCAGAATCACAAATCATCTCAGAATTTGCAACTAGAAGATGGCGCTAGAGCTGAGGAACGACGCCGAAAGGGCTTAATGATTCCTCTTCTACATCAACAAGAATGTCTAGGACGTCAAGTCGACCATAGACATAGTAGTTGCCAAGGAGCTGACCACCCCTCCAAGAAGGACAGCTTGACCGCGTCTATCCGTCATTTGGATCTCGTCGAGACATTTGCCGGTCTTGCTTGCTATGGTGATTCCGTTGTGGCTGAGCGTCCAGGACAAGACGCAGATGGCGCTAGTGTTACTAGTAAAAAAACAAAAACTACTAGTACTAAGATAGTATCGTGGGCAAAAGCACTCTGGAAGGAAGTGGCTGAGAGGAAAATGCGATACCAAGCTCATTATTTCATGCAGGCTTTCGCTGACTTTCTGGTATTCGACTGCTCAGGATTAAAACAAAGCGGTGAAGAACAAGGTAACATCAACAACATGGACGAGCAGGCTTCTCCTGCTGAAGCTACTGCATCAGCATCATCGACTTCCGCAGCTGCGTCTTCATCAACGGGGCTTCTTGGACGGCAACAGCATACATCATACAAGCCCCTTCCTCGACCTGCTCCGCCAGGAACAACACCACCAGCAACAAATCCTGTCCTCCGCTCGTTGTTACCAGCTGCAACTCTTCGCCCTTGTTTACGAGAAGCGAGTGCGTCGGAAGAGCACAGTGTCAAATTGCTAGGCCAACTTCTAGGAAAAGAGTCTGAAAAACTCCCAAAACTTCCGCATCCATACTCTCGCACTGTGGCCAATAGTGGTCGTCTCTTTGAATCGATGTACAAGGAGTACGACGAAGACGCAGGCGAAGCCGAAGGCGGGGAGCAGGAGATGCAGAAAGGAGACGGTCATCGGAAAGACCGCCACCAGAAAAAGCCGAAAAATCTTAGGGGGGACATCCCTCTCGAGGCGGGATCCCCTGGTCGTGACTCTTATGCTGGTACATCTTCCAGGACAACGATTATATCGAAGAAGGAATCATCTCCTGGATCCTCCGGAAACGAAAAATCAGATCTGGCGACAGGAGTCCTTGGAAACAAAGAAAAAACAGACCCTCTCAGAGAAAGAATGACAGAGAGCCGGATCATGCCACCGGAACAACTTCTTAGTCGCATCATGGGTGGTAGTGGTGGCGAGCGTATGGGCCCACACACGTTCGCGAGCACTTTGCGCGAGGCTAGAGAAAGAGAAAGAGCAACAAACCGAAGACAAAAGAGCCAGCCTAAACCTAAGCCTAAATCTTCAGCTTTACCGACCTTTGATGGTCTAAAAGACCAGACTTTACCTGGTAACGAGTTTCCCACCTATGTGACTCCCTTGGGAGGTCCTGGTGGGGAGAGCGTCAGACTTCTGCAGGCAGATCTTGAGAGACGCCGAGACTTGTTAAGAGCGGAAGCGCAGGAACAGCATGATATCGAATTGAAGAAAGAAGAAACGCTGAAGAAAGATCTAGCTACAACTCTCCAGTTTCTCTCGAAAGGTGGGAACAAAGGCAAAGGGAAAGGAGGCCTGGGTGGCTCGGGGTCCGGTAGTGAGGGTGCTCGTGCTGTCAGGGGATCAGCTGAAGAGGGCAAGTCCAATACGACGACCACGGGTAGTACGACCACGTCTAGGAGCTTCATCAATGACGATAGAACAACCACAAGTGGTGCTTGCTCCAATCACTTTCAACACGAGGGCGAAGTTAAAGAGGGTTTGGGCAAGGATCCAGACGCTATTAGAGATACAGAACAAAAAATGCTGGAAAAATTAGTGGACCCAGTATACTTTGGAAAGGACAGCGGAAATCCATTTCGGCAGAAGATGCAACGAATTTGGCAAACCTATGAGGAACGAGATCTAGCCTTGCGAATGGAACTCAAGCGCGTAGCGGACGTGGCTAGTGCGATGGCTGAGACAGGGAGACGCTTTGGGCTGATATCTGCTAAAAATCCAGGAGGATTGTACTCGGGGATAGGTTCCATGGCGCCGCTAGTACCTGTGATATCTTCCGCAGAGCAGGAGCAAGGCTTCTATCCTC